CATCCGAGACGGACGGACGTGCGGCTAGACTCGGGCTGGCTGGCCGTTTCGTTATTATTCGTTTCGCTCGCGCTCTCCATTCGACTCGAGCACATCGCTTCGTCGACCATCACCCGTTGCTCGGCAACCTCTGACTCGCGACGTGTCGTTATATGATGGCGGCGGGGGTGGATAACCGGTGCGGCTGTTCAGTCTGTTTCTCTCTCTCTCTCTCTCACACACACACACACACACACACATTCTCTCTTCTTCTCTTCTTCTCTTTCTCCCTCTTTGTACCTCCACTATTCGCCGAGGCCGTCGAGTGACACTCGTTGACCAAACGGTCATTACGACAAATGTTAGTTATATCTTGACGACGCCATCAGATACTCCGCGAACTATCACGAATTGGAGGGGGGTGTATATGGGGTGAACCACCATAACCACCCTTCAGCGAATAGCGCTGTTGGCACCTATCCATGTAAGCTATACAGCTGCAGGATTACGCTCATATGCGTTTGACATAACTTTTGGTCGAGAATACATGTATAATCGATAACCAGGCAATATAGGAGAAATATAGATGTGCTATATAACAGCAAGTAATAACAACTTATTCAAGTGGTTTGAATCAAAAGTGAGGCTCGCGCAGATCAATCTTAAGATTGATAAATTTAAGGATAAAGATTTATGTCAGGATATATATTTGCATACTTGATCGTTCAAACATCAATTCAAATACGCTAACTTTTTTACTCATAAATTTGCGCAAGTATGAGAGAAGTAACAACAGATAATTTCAGAAATTGTTAAAATGGTTCTTCTCATTACGATGATGAATTTTCCAACTGGGTTAACGAGGCGAGAAATTTACCGCATGGCTTCATTCTAAGTGACCGTCTGGTTATCATCGTCCTATGCATGTTCTTAAAGTTTACATAAGATGAAACCGGAGATCCTAGATTAAGATAGAACTCGTCAAGGGTCATATATTTGAACCCATTAATTACTGAGGTGCTATCATAATCTCTCGCACAATCTAGCATTCCAAGATGATTATCAAGAATCCCGTAAATTTCGTAGAGAACACGTCGCGAATCTATCTATCATCTTCGCCTGTCTCGCTATAACAGCACAAATATCCATAAGTAATAAACGAATAGAAAATGAGAAACAAGATTGAGATACAGAAAAGCAATAAAATCTCATTAAAAATATAAGAAAGAAAATTTATTACTGACGTTACGTCTAAAAAGTTAACAAGACATTACGTGGAAGAAAATTGCCTCGTTACCATCTGCAATTCTTATAGGTATATGTAATTACAAAATTTTGTTCACTAGCTATCGTTTTAATCATAATGATTAATTTTGTTCACTAGCTATCGTTTTAATCATAATGATTAATTAAAGTATTGTTATGTATATTATTTATATATAAATAATAGAATGTAATTAATAAGATTGTTGTAGCTAGCGGGAAAACGTAAAATTAACGCCCGTCGACTCTTATGAAGCATACGCGTAGTTAATTTCGTTTATGTTACGACTCGATATTGTCGCGAGTTCCCTCAAGAAAGTTAGAACGGCGTATACCGTAGACAACATCTGAGAAAATAATCCGAGTTAATTCCGGCGGAGCTACACATCTCGGGCCAACTTGTAGCGTTAATTCCAGGAGTCTCTCCCCCGGAAAGAGAATGGACACACAGCCATACGCAATAAATAAATCCAATAAAAGACACGCGAGGCGCGGAGTGAAATAGAAGAAAACGGGCCGGCCAGGCTAACCGGAGAGGAGACGAAGAGGAGACACCGACAAACGGCAGCAGAGAGACAGAACCCGAGGCGCGCGCGGAATAGCGCGAGGGTGAGAAGAGAGAGACCGTGGACGTGGGGACGAACAGGGAGAGGAAGGAACGTCACGGGAGCGAGACGCAACGATGCGGTGGAAGGGGATGGCGCGCGCTATCGCAAACCCCGCCGGCGAACGCGGCAGGATGCCGAGGTCGACGCTATCGATTGGCGTCGGCGTTTCCTCGTCGGTATCTAGCGGCCGGTGCGCTCTCTCTCGTTCTCTCTCTCTCTCCTCTCTC